ATATATATTATTATATATATATATATATATATATATATATATATAAATAATTCTATGAATAGATACATACTTATCAAGATGTTCCCAAAATACCATTAATGCTGCCCGATCCAAATGTCTTTTTGTCCTACTTAGTTCAATCACTGTTACTGCCCAACGTGCTACATTTGCGTCTAATCTCATTTCATCATATTTCAAATGAAATGCACAAACTAAAATATATAGAATAAAAATTGTTATTATTTACTTAATATAAACATTATTTCATTTATATAAAAAAAATTATACAATTACTTTTTGAAAAGATTTCAACAGGATTGCCATCAAAAGGCCATCCTTTAAATTGCCAAGCAGGACCCATTACAAATACCGCGACGACTCTCTCCCAATCTGCGTTTGTAAGTTTTTGTGGATTATCTACTACTCTATATGGTACAGTGAGTCCTCCTTCTTTTCTACGTTGCAAAAGGACCTCATTCTCTCGTTTACAGCCTTGTGCACGTTTTTCTTCATTACTAACATATTTCAGATCTTGTAATATATCTTTTGCGTTATACATTGTGATGAGTGATGTGTTTGCACTCGGAATGATAATAATAGGAGTTCTGCTAGGCCGTTTATTTTGCGCTGCTTGTTGTGGAGTAAGTTTAGCGGCAGATGTCGGCAGCAGACCAGAATTAGGAGTCGCAGAAGGATTACTTGGTGGTTTTCTAACCGCTGGATTTGTACCTTCTGTTACAGACTTTAGAGTCATACCATGATATGTACCCATAGTATCGATTTTGAATCCTTCTGTTTCCTCTTTTTGTCTGATAAATCTCTCTTGATCATAACGATTGTAAACTGCTGGCTGTGGTAAAGGACGCATTGGTGTAGAGCGTGGAGTAACCATTGGCGTAGGTGCAGTGGGACCTTTTTGTCTGCCTTCTTCGCGGGCTTTGATACTTTGAAGAATTGCAAATATATTTTTTGCAAATATTTTTCCACTACTTTGTAAAATAGTTGCACGTGTTCTCCATTGTCTTTCCCTAGAAACTATATCCTTTGTATCATCAACATCCATCAATATAACACGTAAATCAGATCCCATTCCAATATCATCATTTTCTTTAATTGTAGTACGTTTTTTAGCTAAACGTTTAGCCTTAATAGCTGCAATTTTTTCTACAGACATGGCCTCAGAGAGAGATTTAATATTGTCTACTGTGACAGAAGCTTCTTTTGGAGCATCCAGTCTAGCAGCAAGTTGTTCCTTAACTTTTTGAACATGTGTATCCTCAAAACGAGGCTTTTTGGAGGAACCACTTTCCAATCCATCTTCAGCTGTCCTTTTAACTTGAGTAGGGATTTCTAAAGGAGCAGATTTATCTATGGCGGCTGATGTAGCAGTTTCACCATTGAGATAAGCCAATAAATCTTTTCTATCTGGTCGTCGAACAACTGGTATATTCTCTGCAGCAGCTTGTCGCACATATACAGGATGTGTAAGTTGTACATGTTTGAGTAAAAAGAGAAGGCACTCAAGAGTATAATATTCCTTTGGTGTTCCTTCTTTACCAGATCTACAATAAATTATATAACATACTTTATCATTTGTTAAATATCTTTTATAATTAAAAAATATTAATTTAAAAAAAAAGAATGTCACATTAAGAGTATGTTTTATTTTTACTCATGTAACCAAAAAGAAACAAAACACTCGCATAAACGAAGACACTGTAACAAACGAGACAAAAAATGATTTTCTTTTTAGTTTCTAGAATTCGAGAATTGTAGAAATAGTGATAAGTTTTAAAAAGATGCTAATAATATTTTTTAAACTGTTTATTATTTTATTGATGATAAAAGGATTATATAGAAGATTGACTAATGGTGGAACCTGTTCGAGGTTACAGCTGTCGCAATTCAATTTTTAAAAAACTTAACCTGTACTTACCCATAAGTCAAATAGTTAGTTTTAACATTTTTCGGCCAGGAGAATTCACCAAAAATAATTTGATTTTCACGTTCAATTATTCTTTTTTATTAACATTATATTGTCTGAGCAAGCTCAGCGGGTCCGCCATGATTATAAACTACTACCCCACCTTCGGGTGATATGATAAACCAAAAAATAAATTACCATACACACGGTGCATCATTCGTACACGTCAATTTTGGAATGTATATATCGATTGTGTATCACTACTAACATTAAACGTCATTTATAATATTTCGGTAACAACTTGGTAAAAATATATTTTCAGAATATTTCCAATTTATTCTTGAAAAAACGTATTTATATATCAGAAAATACTTTTGAGCCAAAAGTGAATCGTTTTTAAAGTGCACCCTTTGCAATTATATCTTTATTGATGCTTGGAGTAACGATAAGGAATTAACTGTTGTGCCAAATAGTCTTCGAAATCTTTACCAGTAAGGTACTTTAATTGAATCTGTTCGCTATAGTTTTGATTATTATTTACTTATTGTGAACATCGATGCTAATTACTAAAGAACGATGAGCTACCCGGAAAAACAGGATAATATAACGAAAGATGAATGGGTTGCCAAGCTGGAAGAAAATTCTTACACACAACGTGTCTCTATGAACAATTTAATTATGAATTATCTAGTTACAGGTTAGTTTTTCTAAATAAAAATATTTTAATCTTTATATTTTAATTAAGTAATTTTGTTATAGAGGGATTCAAAGAAGCTGCAGAAAAATTTCAGCAAGAATCTGGAGTGGAACCAACAGTGGATTTAAGTTCTTTGGATGATAGAATTCGAATTAGAGAAGCAATTCAAAATGGTCGTATTCAGGAAGCAACAGATCTAGTGAATCAGCTACATCCAGAATTATTGGATAATGACAGATATCTTTATTTCCATCTGCAACAATTGCATTTGATTGAATTGATTCGTACAGGAAAAATAGAGGAGGCTTTGCAATTTGCTCAAGACAGATTAAGTGAAGCTGGAGAATCAGATGATGTAATTTTATGTGAATTAGAACGAACCTTAGCATTATTGGCTTTTGATGAACCTCATAAAAGTCCATATAGTGATTTACTTCATCCAACTCATAGGCAAAAGGTATAATATTACAAATATTATATATTTATAATATTTATTTTTAATTTATTACAAAAATAATTTTATATATAAATTTACATTAAATTTGTAAAATTTAATTTCATTTTATTTTTTTTTATATTTTTCTTTATATTTTGCTTTTATAAATGAATTATCTTTTTTTAAAAAAACTAGATAGCAAGTGAATTAAATGCAGCTATATTGAAGATGGAGCATAAAGAATCAACTAGTCCACGATTAAATAACTTGTTGAAGATGATACTTTGGGCACAAGATGAATTGGAAAAGAAAAAAGTGAAATATCCAAAAATGACTGATTTAGGTAGTGCCACCATTGAGAATCCAAAATAATTTTAAATCAGATAATATATGGAACAACATGAATATATTTATTAGTATGCGCGCATGCGAGAATATGAATGCGGTTGAATCATATGGATAATTAACATATGAATAGGATTTAGAAAAGGAATAGACTTGAGTATTTTAATATACTCCTGTTCAAATTAGTAATAATTATTTTCTATAAGAATCATATATTTATAAATTTTGATGATATATATATTATAATAGATGCAAATTAAGAGAGAGGAATGCACTGATTACAACAATTACGCAAGTTTTTAACATTGCAAACTGAGGTTATCGTTATAATTCTCTTCATGTGTAATACACCATCGACACGATAAAAAAAGTACAAGTTACCAGCTTGCAAAGAAGTTCATCGATATTTTTTAAATAATACGAATATGTCAAGAAACGGACCATTTTAATTAATATCTGTGCAATATATAATAGATGAGTTATCGTCGCGAAAGTAATTTTAACATTACTTGATTATAAATATATTATACTATGTTATATTACAGTAGAATCAATTAAGTATCGATAGTGTTTATTATAAAAAATAGAGAGATATAGTAATACATTACTAATAGTTTAGGAATAATATATGTAATAATTATTCAATGTGTATAAAAATTTATATTTGGTACTATCGATGTAGTAAAAAAAAAGAAAAAAAAAAAACGTGAACAAGCATTTTAGGGATTTTTGAATATATATTCCTCTCTCGGGTCGTGTTTATATCGCATTCGATTTTTATAAAAACGTAAGGAATATTAAATAATATTTGTCATGTACAATTTTTTTCATTTGAAATTTACCAACCAAACATATATTCCATTGCTTTTGAGACTAAACCTGTAGATTTTTGTGGAACATTTTCTGGTGATCTTACTGATTGAGAGCTAAGATTTTGATTATAACCAACTGCCAGTGGTCTTGCACTTTGTATTCTAATTGGTGTGCGTGGTGTACTATATTCTGGTGATTTACTAATTCGTCCTATATTACAAAAAGATTTAATACTTCCATTCATTTTTGAACAGCTTCTTTCTTTATCGCATCGCAATATAACACCCTCATCTGTACAAGGAATTACACCAATCATTATAGATCCAGATACTATATTTCCATTACATGCAAGTGCCCTTTGTGCTTCTAATTCTGAAGCACATTTTAAATGTATCCAATTGCTTTGTGAGTGTGGCGGAGGATGTTTGTCTACTATGCGAACTCTGCTCGAAATATGAGCTAAAACATTATTCATATCACTAGGAGGAAAACCAAAAACAGTCACCCATTGTAAAAGACCTTGAGATTCAGATGTATTAGGATTTAATCCACTATCATTGAACATAGAACTATGCAAAAGTCTTGGTTGATTATATGATATACTTTGATTTGGTGTTGATAAACTACATTGATTAGATGTAGTTTTTAAACTTTCTACAGTGTCAAATAATTCTACTGTTGGAGGTCCACCAGAATGACTTTCTGTGACTATTTGTGATGTATTAGGAGTATTAGCACCTCTGAATACTGCTTTTTGGCGATTAGTACGATAATCTGGAGTACCATAATTAGATAATGGAGACGTAAGTCCACTATGTCCAATATGTAATTGTTTTGGAGTATCTTGAGGACTTGTCAAATTAATTTTAGCAGGCTAAAAATTAAAAATAATTATTTATTATATTGTATATATATTATATAATGAATTTTGATAATAAATTTTACTTACTGTAGTAGTATCACCTAAAAGAAAACTTGGAAGATACGCAGAAGTTCCTGGACTTCCAGGACTTTGCATAGGACTTCCAGCAGGTGATCCTAATGTCATAGGCTCCATCTGAATAAAAAAATAGTACTCTTTTAAAACTTTGTTTTTCTTGATATGGATAATTAATTATATATTAATCATAAATATTAATATTGTAAGTATAATTTGCTATTTTAATAATTTTATTTATATTTTCATATTATAATATAATGTAATATAATATAATATAATATTTATATTATCAATTTTAATATTTATTCATAATATTTTATTCATTTTATATATTTTAAACATTAAAGATTTTATTTAATTTTGATTTTTGTTGAGGTTATATATTTGAAATTTATAAATACATGCATATAAAATATAAATTGTTTAAAATTAAATATATATTTTTTACTACATACTATTTTTACTTAAAAAATTCTGCAAATTTCTAATGTAAAATATATAAATACTTAAATATTTAAAGTTGTTAACACATCTAATAGATATTTAAATAACGAACAATATTTGATTTCCACCAATAGATGTCTCTCTATGATAAAAAAACGTAAAAAATTATTTGAATTATTTGTATGGTAATATTTATTTTTATATTTTACGAAAAATTTATAATAAAAAACAATATATATATAAACAATATAAAAAAAACAAAGAATTTATATATTACAAATTATAATTATATCTATAATTATTATATCTAATAATTATATATTAAAATAATATAAAAATTTTTTATTCTTTTACATTCTTATTCTTGTATTTTTAAATTTAACACAAATTAAAATTTTGATTTCATTTGATTGTGATTATTCTATTATCAATCAATTTAACTTTGTGTTGCTATTTTCTAGTTGTCAGTGTACTTTGTTACTATAAAGTGTGAAGCTATTATTGTGCCACTGCATTATCTATAAATAATAAATCATATTTTTGTCTTACTTTTTGAACATAAGTGAAGCACAGTGATCTTTGTTTTGGATTTGTAAATAGTTTATAATATTAATATTTCAATTCTCGCGCGCTTTATGTGAATAAGAAAATGCACCAATTAGGAAGCTTTCTAGGTCAACCTGTAGCGTGTGATATTCTTTTCTCAAAAATCATCGTGACAGTTTGTCACGATGGCTACAAATGTGAAGTGTGTAACTTTGATTATGCAGTAAGTAATTTTATTTTTTTATTGTTAAATTTAATAGATGTTAATTTACTATTAACTTTATTAATTTAATAATTCACTAAATATTGTAATAATGAAATTAATTAGTTCTTTCTTTTTCAATCGTTTATTTAATTATAGAGGTTAATTACTACTGGTAATTTATATTTGATTTTTTATAAGATTTAAATTTAATCATTATTGAATTAATTATTAAAATTATTAATCATTATGAATTATTTTAATATAATTTTATATTAAAATATAATATTTTTTATATTTTATAAGCTTGTTTTATGATTTTTATTTGTGCAAATTATCCGATTGCATTAAGATAACTTTAAACTAATAATTCATAGCATGTAATGACTTATAATTAATAATTTTTTTATTAATCTTTTTATTATTAATCTATAATTTATTTCTTTTGCTAAATATATTAAGAACAAATTGTTTTTTTATTTATATATATATATTGAAATAAAAATGTATAATCGTTAATTTATTCTAATCAATATTATTGTATTATAATACATATTTCTTTTCTATCTGAATTGTTTATATATTTATTTCTTTTTTTATCTGAGTTATGCTTAAAAATAATAATATTTACAATACTTTTCAAAAAATGGATTCATGTATATTAAATTTATTATCAATTTATCTTAATATAATTATTTAAAAATCTTAGTTTTTTTTTGTACTATTAGTCTATTGTTGGGATAATTTTTTAGGCGGGAAAAGTTTCAATATGGATGTAATTCCATAGAAAAGATGGATATTTTATGTATTGTATATCCATTCTGTTTTTATTTGATTATTAGTGATTTATCGTTATAATTTATGATATAATTATTGAAAATATTAGAATAAAAATAGAAAAGATTAATAAATCATTTTTAATTTGAAATTTTTATATTAAAATAAAATTCCAATTTTTATTATTATTATAGTTTATTAGAATCCTAAACATTATTATTAATATTACAAAATTAATCAAATTTTATTTTTTCTTTTTTTTGAAATAATTATTTTAATTTTTTCAAAATAATTTTTTTTTTAATAAATTGTATTTTAAAATAAATAAATTATATTATAATCAGATTTTATGTTTTGCCATAGATATTTCTCTACCTTCATGATGAGTTTTTGTTATGCAGCATAGACGACAACGTTTTTCACATCTAATGGTAAGTCGCATGCTTTTTTATTTCTTCGATCATTCAATTTCTACTATTGTCGAATGAAAAGATCGAATCGATATGCGATATTGATTGTGTACAAGCATAATGATACATGAGTTATAACATTTTTTTCTATTATGTTTTATTGTATTGTATCATGCATTTTATTTATTGTATTAGATCAAATGACAAAATTTCTTGTATCGTATTTCTTTTATTAATATCATTTTAAGAAAATGATTAAGAAAATGAAAATTTTAAGAAAATGATGTTGATAATTAATTTTATGTTAAGTAAATAATACAATGAATAATATTGATAATTTGAGTATATGTAATTATTTTTAAAATTAAAATATATTCAATATATGAATATTTGCGAAAATTAATAATTTTTAATTGATATGTGCATTAAAATATGCAAGTAATATGCCTATATTTATTGAAAGCATTTCAGGATATCTTTTCTAGTGTAGTGTAAATTTCTGCTTTCAGGTATTATAAATATGTTGTGTCTGTTTTGCCATTAGTTAGGTTTTAAATTAGATTTTTAATTGGGATTTATTTTTTGAGATTAATTTGATTAGATAGATTATATTTAAGTAAAATAATAATATATATGCATATATAAATATTATAGATGCTTAATATGAAAATATTGAATAAATAAAATGTATTTATAATTAAGTGTATGCATTAAGGGTGATAATTAAATTAGATTAAGTAATATAGGTAATGTTGATATTTGTTTATGAATAATATCTTTGAAATTTATTAAATTTATGAATACAAAGAGGGAAAGAAATGAAATGAAAAGAATATTATAATATTGAATTTTAATAACGATGAAAATTATGTACATATTTACAGCTTCGTTAAACACTTATTTGACAATTACCAGGATTTTGATACACTACTACGTAAGAAATACATTTTTAGCTTAGATACTTACACGTTTATACGATGTGATTCTCTCGCGTATGTGATTCTATTTTCGTTTTTCTTTTTCTTTTGTGCTTAATGACATTTCAAGTAAATGAAATTTTAAATAAAAAAAGAAAGAATTATTGATTTCGTACAAATTTAAAATTTCGCATCGATTTGTATTAAAATTTTTGAATTTTCACGCGCATAAATGTTTATGATAATATCAATATAGGAATAATAATATATATGTATAAAAGATTCATCAATAAAATTCTCGCAATAAATAACAATAAATATCACTAGCAATATTTAATTAACAATCTTTCTTGTGAAATTGCTTCGTACAGGAAGACAACTCTCACTGATGATCTTCTAATATAATTTTTAATATTAAATATATAATAAATATAATAATTTAAATATAATTTTTTTTTAGGGATAACTTTATAAAATATCATTGTAACAATATGAAAAAGACTCTAGATCTATATTTCCTTTTAAAATTTTTTTGTCTAGCAATTTCATAAGAAAAACTAATTTCTTGTAAAAAAAAAAAAAAACTATTTGTAACATTTATTTATCTCTCAAAGATGAATAATTAAGTTTCTGGGCTTCGGATTAATGTTATAAATTAAAATTTGTTCATAAACATAAAATGATTTTGCATTAAAACATCGATATAACATACTTTTTAATTTTTAATTATAATTTTTTCTCTGCTTAAAAAGATATTTCATTGCGACGCTTTTTTATAATGACGTATATTTTTACACAAACTTCAATTCCTCATATTTAAACGATTCGCGCGGGAAAATTTGAAACACGATAGATTAGTACGATCATTGAATGCAGAAATCTAGATAAAAATATATATTCCTGAAATATCTATTGTAGCTGAGATGTATATTATATGAGATGTATTATTTATATCAGTACTGGGTATTTTTATTTTTAAACTATTTAAATTTTATTAAATTATTAATTTTTATCATTTAAAGCAATTGAAATGAATTTTTACAATAAAAAATTAAATCATTTATCATTTTTAATAATATAAAATTATCTTTAAATTTTACATTTTTATCATTTTAAATATTTTCAAAAAGAATTTATTATATGATTAAAATATATACAATTTTTATATCAAAATGAAGTAATATTAATTTAATCAAAATAATAATTACCCAGCATTGTGCAGAAATTGTTTGTGATTGTTTTCTATTGTATTCATTGATACAATATTTCATTGATACAGCAAGATTTGGAGATGGAAAAAAATGTATTTTCCATAAAGAGTCCCTCTTTTGTCTTCTTCTTCTTTTTTTTTAAATATACATATAAAAAATGATATGCAGTAAAAATAGAAATACCATTATAAAATTGTAGTAAAAATAATATGTATCAATTTATGGAAAAGCAATAAGAACTTTCTTATTCATCTGCTAAAAAGATCTTTGGACGACCTAACGTATATATTCGATATATGTATGTATGTATATGCATATGGAGAGACGGATTTATGCTTCCTTTGATTTATTTTTGAGTCATTTGTTCTCTGTCTTGTTTTCTTTTTTTATAATTTTATACTTTCTCTCTCTTTCTTCGATAATTCCATGGATATGTTTTAAATGTGACTTTTTCCTCACATGAGAATACATTTAGAGCCTAGAACATATTTTTATTTGTTAACATTGACAGATCCACAAATGTATTTTTATTAAAAAATAAAATCAATTCTCTTTCTTTATCAATCTTTTTTTCAAAAATTTATATAAAAAAAACATTAATATTTTAAGAAAATTTGCAATTTTTTTAAAAATTAGCGTCAAGATTAATATCTTCTTTTAACAAAAATAAGTGAATTAAATTTTATTTATATCGAAATCAAAGGAACAGACATTAAAGACTTTGATAGATCTACCATTGTTTGTACGTCAATCACGTTCAATCGAACGTCAATCCCTTATCATGTTTATCGATATGATATTTGATTACGATTATGCGGCTTAAAAATTAGTATTAGATACGACGGGAACAATCTCCTAACGTATTTGTTTTAATCCACTCTTAGGAAGCAACGTGAAAAACAATTGTTGTTATTATCGCGCTAGGATGATCCCTGTGATCAGAAAAACGATCATCCGGTTGAATATTGTGGTTGTTTGACTTCCTGAAATGAGAAATAATTTTTCTTAATATACATACTTTAATACTGAAATATGTATTTCATCATTTCCATTTCTTTCTCTTTGAATAGAAGAATATTTTATGAAGTGAAAAATCTTTATGATTTTTATTTCAAAGTTAAAATGGCAATGAAGAAAGTTAGGGAATTTTTTATTTTTTATCTTATTACGAATGAATATTGTTATTTATTTAAAAAATTATGGTTCATGTTTGTAACTACAAATGTTATCGAAAATTTCAACAACAAGAAAAAGTTTCTTAATACAAGTGTAAAAGAAATAGATATTCTTCAGATTTATAACTTTGCTTCTAACATCAAAGAGCATTTCTTTGTCGAGCATTATTCGGTCTTCAGCAAGATATTTCGAATATCCAATATCGATAGTAGTTTTCTTCTTCAAAGCTATGCTATTTCATTTGAATAGCTTTTTAAACATGTCTGATCTGTCTATTCAACATTATTATCGTAGCTTTATAATAATAAAAATTTATTTTTCTTTAGAAAATATTCTATTTTCTAAACAATGTAATTGAGTTTCTGCACAAAGGATTCTATGTTAAGCATGTTTTGTTGTCCTTTTTTATTTCACATCCATATAATTTTGTTTTCTTTAATAAATGACATTAAATAAATGGTTGAAACATAAATGAAAACATTAAATAAAAATTTAATCCCCTCGATAGGACTTTTCAGTTAGATTAATTATCATTTGGCTCGAAAACCGTTGTCCCGTTTTAATCGATGAATTATTTATCGGACAGTCAAGCGTTTAATCACGAGTCAATTAACCTATAATGTAATCAATTTCCCAATTTATTTGCATTTGAAAGTATCCCATTTAATCAGGCAGTAAATTTTGCATAAATCCCGTTTAAACATTCACTGTTGTTGTTACCCATGAGTAAACGATAATTTTTCAATTTGTATCTAACCAATAAAAAATGCAACGTATTATGAATCACATATTTTATCCATTATGACATTACGTATTTTCATAACAATTCAATTACGATTCAATCTCAATATTTTTAATTTTGTGCGATAAAAACGATAAGAAAACAACGAGAGAGAGAAAAAATATATATATAATCATTCGAATCAGCAACCAATTGAGCAACGTTGAAAGTTCCTGAAGCAAAAATGAAATTCGAACGAGATTCGATATCGAATTGTTCGTCGTAAATCGTATATTTCCTCTTTGATGTTGCGTTTTTTTCGTTCAATGTTCATTCCCGATATTTTTTAAATTTCGCGAGAAAAATAAAAAACAACAAGTGAACAACGAGAGAAAGTACGGAAAAGAATTCGAGAAGAAACGTCCAATCGAGCGGCCATTAAGAATTGTCGGAACTAAACACCGAGAGTGACATCTGGTGGAGATTCTATGAAAGTGTTCGTGAGTGGGGATTCACCAGGGATTTTACCATTGATTAAATCGTTCCGAGTGTGGCTCTGTGCCCTGGTCTCGCGGCTTTCCATCACGGGTGCTTTCAGGATCCTCTCGTCTCCTTCCACGCTCTCCTCGTTGCTCTGCAGATATACGGTCGCTATTGTCGCCAAGCACTTCAGCTTCATATCGCCACGCTTGAAGTGTTTGTTGGCGACGCGAAACTCCAAGCCCAATACCGCGGTTTCTAACCCCTTCTCGTCCACAGCGGTAATGTGTGGTCCCTTCAGGTACTGATTATCGGCCTGAAATATATCGTCGATTATTTTCGTGACGATGAGATCTTGCAATTGGATTTTTCTTTTTTTGCAAAGCCACTTACCTGATCACCATTGATGAACCAAGTTAATAAAGCGGCCGGTTTTGAAGGCGCGGACGTACAGTTCATTCGAACAACTTCGCCGACTTGATAGCGCGAACGGCCACCGGTTATTCGTGGCCCTTCGTCAGGAAGAACTGCAACGATAATAATTTTTCTTTCCCACGTTTCAATATTTAAATTTTTTTTTTTTCAACAATTTAACAACGATCTGACATCAAGTTACTCGTGTCGGATTTAGACACCACCAGAAGTGATTCGCACAAGTATGGTATTTTATAAGTTGCAAATTAAAATTTGCAAATTATGATTTTGATCATAATCACTATTCGACTATTAATAGTAAAATTAATTAATAATGTGTTTGATAAATATAACTTATTAACCAAAGTGGATTGGAAAAAAATAATAAATAAAAAGTAATAAGTAAGTCTACAACATTTTCCCGTATATATTTTGATTAATATACACGTTTCCTTACCTACTACCGTCATGTCTGCATGGTCAGACACGGTCTGAAAGGCTGGAGCCTCGGCAGACACCTCGCATCGATACCTCCCTGAGCTAGTAAGATTCACATTGTTCAGAACCACCAATCTTTCCGTGGAATTATTCGTCTGCAATTAAAGAGGAGGTCATCGATCTTTCACGAGGGAATCATAGTTATCCTAATACTCACGTTCACATCCACACCAGGGACACGAAAGGTTTGGACCATTGGCACATCCCTCGGCACGTAACGATAAAATTCGTGGCCATCTTTATACCATTTCACCGAGTACAATAGTTCTTTATCCAGATTGAAGTTGCACTGCATACGGACTGTCTCGTTCAGAACGACGTGTTGAGGTATTTGCAGGGCTGTCATTCGAAGGGCCACAATACCTGGAAAGATTATCACGAAATTTTTACAAATTATCATTCGATCAAGTTTTTGGAATTAATATTGGGATCCAATGGTAAGCCACATCGAATCGGGTTTAAGAATTTAAAAACCACAACTTTATATACGTATTATGTCCATTCAAGTTATTTGATTCGAAATTGTCCCTACCTGTTCGAGTAACTTCGCCTCGAACGGATATCCATTGGAAAATTTACAGTCTATAAAGGCGTAACGAGTAAAAGATGGAGATCATAACGATCTCAAAAATATCTACGCGAAACTTTGATAATTTCTACGATATGATCGAACATTTCGAAGAAAAAATTCTACTTGATCTAAGAAACCGATATCGATATAAGAATGAGACCAGAGATAATATTGAATTACTTATAAACTTGTATTCCCATCAATTGAAAGGATAGTCTTGAATTTTGCTTGAAAATTGACAAAATTGATTTCGAGTGAAATGAATTTGGTAAAACTGTTCGAAATGATATTTCAAGTCGAATAACAATCAAGTTCACGAGAGCGAAGAAATTGTTTGAATAATAATTCGAAAGATATTAATCTTCAACATGAAATTATGATCGAATATACGAAACAAAATTCTTATTGAATTATTATGATTTCGATAAAATTATCCATAATTATATCGTAACCGGATCCACTAATCTTCTTGCACAGTTAACTTCTTAAAATTGTCGATGATTGATATGTATCGATGTTGTACAATTAAAAAAAAAAAAATATATTCGTATCTTGATTAAAAGAAAAGATAGAAAAATTTCGATTATCGAATTGAATTCTATGAGACTCGAGGTATTTTTAAACGAATTGAACGATGCGTAATTAACCGAGTTATTTAAAGTTTAAATAATAAAATGAATGTATCGAGATCGATGTGAAATTTATTTTGATGATTCAGCTAAGAGAGAAGAAGATCACTTCTTCCTTCTCTCCCATTCTGGGATGAGAAGCAGTTAAACTTTCTCTCTTCGTCTCCTTTCCCTTCACTGAGAGATTATTAGGAATGATAAGGAGAATAATTAAATTGTCAATGGCGGAATCGTCGAATTTCCGTTTATTCAACATTTAGAAAATTAGCGATTTTGTAATCAGATACTCGATAAATCATGTTTTCCGCATCCCCCATTCTCCCTTTATATCGATTATATCGATGGAAAATCGACAGAATTATTAAGCGTTAGAACGCGTTATCGCGAGTGGAAATTTCCTCTCATTTTCTATTATTCGTATTTCCTCGTTCAACAGTTACTCGCAATGCTTATCAACCCGCTAAACACCACTCGAATTGATGGTTGCAGTTTTTCCAGTAGTTTTAATTAATTTCTTCGATCCAATCTATTTTTCCCTCTCGCCTTTTCATCGGTAAAACCCGTTTTTCATAGCGATCTCATATGTTCATTCATTCGATTATCCCGGTCGGTAATTTTAAAAGAGAAAAAGTGTTCTCGGTCGATAAGGAAATTGACCGAGTTTTGCTAGAGATCTATTGTAGGTCAGACCGGTATAAATTGTAGTATTTTCGACCGGGTTCGATGTCAGATATGGCTACATTTATTGGAAATGTATCCTTCTATTTGATATGGAATCGAACGGAAGAAATCTTGGTCGATGAACATCAATAATTCTACGTGGTTAAAATAGACTGACGTTGGAAATAGAGGTGAAAATTATTATATTTGAACTCGAATTTGCTTATTGAACTTGTCGTATTCATTTCAAGATTATAAAAAATTATGATTTTATTTATTAAGCAATACCTAATCAATCGAGCTACAAAATTTAAATGATAAAATAAAACGTATGTCAAAAATGAATGTAACTTAAAAAATTTCTTTTGGACTTTTATAGAAATTTAAAGATAGATTTCTCTTTATTGCATATATAAATAAAAACCTTTATATTATTATTTTTAAAATAAGTGGAAATCTGATTTTTAAATTAAAAAAAAAAAAATCAAAATCCAAAATTTTAAGTTTAAAGTCTCTGAAGAACTCAAAACTCTCCAGAATATTTATCTATTCTTTTTTTCCAATGAAAATATAATCGTCAAAAATTAAAATTTTAAAAAACGTTTTCTAAAATTCTTCTCTTTTGAACTGAAATTCAAAACAATCGATCAACAATTCGAAACTTGTTAATAAACCTTTCTCTAAATATTTCTAATATATTTCTATTCCTAATATTTTTATAATATTATTTCATTATTCAAGTTTTCTTTTTCGGAAAAAAACTTTGCATTTGCAAATAAAAAATACAGATAAAAAAGCAAGATAATTAAAAAAAATGAAAAAATATTTGTTAACGAATCCAATATATAATATCCGAGTCCTCTGGCATTTAACCGTTAATGAAACATTTACGATCAGGGGGAATTGTATCTTTCCATTGGAGAGGGATGGACGCCTAGCGTCACGACGCTGCTGGTCGCACGTGCTCTTGACGGACACGGACACGGTCGATTTAATTAAACGCAATCGGACGAGGGTTGGACGAACCTGTCGAGAGGGGAGGTTAATCAGTAGCCAGATATATACTCAGATTATTTACCGACTGTATTATCGCCTAGTATTACGCGCTTATGCCTCGAATTAAACGCTACACAGCCACTGGCGTTAATTTTCAGCTCGCGTGTACGGACCATATTTTTTCCAACTCTTGAATTATCGAATTTTCTGCCACACCACTCGTACCTTAACTCGTACGAGGTGTTTCGAAACAAGAGTTTTGCTGCACAAATGTGCGTTTGTTTAAATTTAAAATAGAGGTTAGAACAGCAAAAAGGTTGATCGATAAAAATTATATCTAATTAATAAAAATAATTAAATTTTTAATATATTTATACACACATAATGCGTAAGTTTTACTCGATATGATCAAAAAATATTTTTAAATCGGTGTCAATATTGACCTAATATAGCTCCAAGTTGACTAACCGAGCTTAATCGATAAGGAATTAAAGAAACCGTGCTTCCTGATTGACCATGCGTCGATAAGGATTACTCGATCGATCCATACGAGTAAATCCAATCTTAAATAATTTTCCTTGTCCAATCAGAGTTATCGGATGTAATATTACTTGTACAAATGACTCAGCGATTGAACCGCTAAGATTAATCTTTAATCATATATCAACGTGCACTCTAACACGTTTCTTTGTTCCTTCATCAATCAAGTTCGATCTAGCCTCATCTTAGATTTATATATTAAATCGAATATTAAATTTATATAGGTTATAATTTTTATTATTAACGTTCATATATTTTGTATATTTCGCCATTATTTCATCAGAAATAGTACGGTAAATCGAGGACTATACAACATCAATTATTTTTTAGAGAGATAGACGATGAATCGTTGACAGCTTCTCTCTCAAATGAAGTTTCAATTCTAATCGATAACCTCACGACGATTAAACGGGTAAAAAAATGCGACAGTTAACCGGGCACATATTCTGCGAATCGTTGGCTTCTTTCTCAAATGGAATTCCAATTTTAAGAATTGACGCGGATAACTACACGACGAGTTAAGCGGGCAAAAAAAATGCGACAATTAACCAGGTATTACTGCATTTCGAAATCTGTACTTTTTACGATTAAAAACGTTGCCTTGCAAGAAAAGAAAAAAAAAAAAACAAAAAACGCGAGCGAATTGATAATTATCGAAATTCCTTTGTTCGTGATTAGAAAAAAAAATAAGGGAGGGAAGAACGAATGGGGTTGCATCGAAGGGATGCATGCGAGAGGATGGCCCGCGTTATATTGTTTTATTCGAGGTCGGATCTGGAGTGGCGGTTCACCGGTGAGTTTTATTGGGAATTGAGCCAATTAGAGTACTCGAGTTAACGATCTATCGTAATACGCTTTCGCGAGGTTGTCGACGATTACGCTGTCGTGCTGGCCCCGTCTTTAAACGAACCGCTTTACGCGCCCGTATATCTGCTCGTTTTCTTGATTAGGAATGGTCCTCGAAGCGATTAACCGTCGCGTGACGACTGGAAAAAGTTGTCCACACTGACGTTTCTTCACCGGTTAACTCTATCGCTTCGCGCTTCGTGTTCTTCTTTTTTTTTTTTTTTTTTTTACAACTCACCGATACGAAGTGATATAGATGTTATTTAGAACAACAAGGTTTCTCCCCTGGAAATGGAAATTTTAAATCTAATAAAATTTGAATTATAGAGGTTTAGATTTAGGAAAATTTGTATTAGTTTTAATTTTAGGTTAGGTTTAGATAAGACAGTTATGTATTAACTTTTGAAAATAACGAAGGATTATTGTATTTAATATTTCGATAATGATTTATGATACGAAAAAAGTGCATAGGTGTTGCGGCAATTTAAAAATATGTACACGATACTTGAAATTTATTATATATATAAAAAAGAAAATATATTTTAATATTTAAAGAGCTCTATTTTTGAACGAGATATATTTATTAGGTTGATTAAGTTGAATTTAATCAAGATATGATTCGTTCTAATTGAAATTTAATTATAAATTTGGGATTACATTCGGGTTTGGATATGTGCACTTCGAGCTTGAACTTAATTCAGATGTGGCTCACGTTAATTCAAACTTAAATTTGATTAGGTTTAGATTAGATGAAATACATATTACCGGAATTCATGATTAAACTTAATCTCGACACTCGTTTTTACTTACTCAAAGAATTTGATCAAGAATTATATTGGACATGATATTTGAACGCGCAACGCAAAAACTTAAATATTAATTAACCTTAAAACTAATATACGTTTGATCAACCAAAAATTTAACCATAAATTCGAGTTCGCTCAAGACTCACGCAATGAGTTGAAAAACGTATATTAACTCGATCGAATATCCTTTTCCTGGGGGCGGCTTTCGTTTCAAAATTGGAATTTATCCACTTTATCCTTTATCTTGCTGGACTTCCGCGTCCCGGGAATCCTATTTCTGTCCTCTACAAAGCGGATCCTATCTAAATGTCTGTTGGTTACCGTATTACCGCCATTCTCTCGCGGAAGTTCGCGCACCGTGTAACCAAGGAAATTTCTATCCCGCTCTTTTGAATGGCACATGGTGAACCGATGTGCTCGCCCGTCCAGAATACACTTTCAATTCTCATTTGCTCGTTTAACGTGCTGCCAACTTTTAATAAACGAGGCAGAAGCGACTAAAAACTGAAAACGAGCTCAAACACCATCTATTCTATACAAGAAGCGAGTAGACCTCGCCTTCGCCACTAAGACCTTATTAAATTTCCCTTTCAAATTCGTTTCGATTGTTTTAAACTCTGGATTTAAAAGATCCCCAATCCTCAATCCGTAGCTATTAAAAATTAGCTCGAAGAAAATGAAGAAACCGACCCACGCGAAATCCTTTGATCGAAGATCGATGAATGACGGATACAATTGTTCCCTTTCCCCCCCAGATCTCCACGTGGGTGAAGGAAGACCGACGCGTCTAGGATATTGGAATTACGCAAATTACACGCGGTTCATGCGGAAATCGATGTGGTGTGTCGGATGCCAAAGGCCCATTGGCCGTCGTGCAAACATCCAAACAATACGAACAATACCCTCGTGGAATCGGTGTATCAAATATTGACTGGCAATATCTTTGACCGACGATCGATCACGGTGTCGAATGTTCATTCCTACGAGGAATCCTGACACGTTCTTACAATTACAAAAGAAGAAGGACGGATAGATAGAAACTTCACCAAAGATAATCCACCATTTCATCACGAAGAAAAAAGAAAAAAGAAAAAAAACTTTCGTCGAAACGATATATATATTAATCCTCCTACCAACTCCTCCTACCTGAATGCAGCATGAACGCAGAGATCGCGATGATACTGGTGGACAACGGTGTCCTGCGGTTCACCGGGAACGGCATCCTCTCTGACCATCCCATGTACCCGATGGATCGTACCCGAAGATCTTGTCACTGTTCGCCCATTCTCTGTCTTTTTTCAACACTGCACACGCACACGAGACGGAAATCGATCACCCTCACCCTCTCCAATTGTCCGTCCACCAGGTCACGACGATGGTAACGCGGCGGCGACGACGACGATGGGGGACGACAGACACGTCGACGGGGACCCCGGGCGAGCGACCTTCGGGGATGGTCAGCAGGTGTCGGAGCGGCACATTATTTTCCACGTTCCGCGCGGACTAATTGAAAATCTATACGGGGCAGAGAGGCAGCCGCTACTGCGGCATCGGTACACACCAGCGGGAGAGCCAGGAGGAGGTGCTGGTGTGTTGCTGCTGGTGCCGCTGCTGCTACCACTGATGCTCCCTTGCTGGTGGTGGTGGTGGTGGTCGTCGCGAGAGAGAGAGATGGTCGGCAAGCGTGGGTCGGTGGGCGGGCTGGTGGGGGAAGGAGAGCGGGGCGGCCGGGAGCAGAACAGCGAAGAAAGACGAAGGTGGCCGAGGGAGCGACACGAAGCGACCGAGACGGGGCGAGTTGGAGTAGTAGTTTCGAGTGCGCGTGCGCAGTTATCCGAGTCGATGATCGCTGCAAAATTCTCCGTCTTCCTCTCGCGCTGCGCGAGCTTGACTGCTCGCGTCCCCCGCGTTGCGTGTGTGCAGGCGCTAACGAAATTGGGGGGAAATACGCTACGCTCCGGGCAACCCGCTCCCGGCGACTCTTCCGCCAGGAATTATGCGGATTTTTGCTGCCAGTTGATTGTTTCCCTTCGCTCCTTTTTTCCCCTCTCCCTCTCCCCGCTTTGTCGTTCGATCTGTGCATATTGTCGATTGGTGTACGAAGCGGGTGGAGATCGATCGAGAAGGATGGTTGAAGAAGGTTGGTCCAATTTAATCGGTAACCCTCGATGATTCTGCCGGATTATTATGGGGTAAATGGGATCGAAGCGATCTTAACGTAAGAATATGTTTCTAACGAGGGAAAAAAACGCTGTCTGAAAGGATCGTTCGGGTGTGAAGAAAGGAAGAAGGGGTTAAGACCCGCGAGACTTAAAAATAAAAGGGATAATTTCTTTTTTGAATCTTTTCTTACGTTTATCCAAAGTTTCTCAAAGGAGATAGCTCTGTAAATTTCGCTGAGACAAGAATTGGGCATAAGTTACAGGCCCGACCTGTAACTTTGATCTTGAGAGTAGAGATTAAAAGTGTGGTGGTCCATGGAGTCCTGTTTTTATCTCGTATAAATAATACAGCCAGCCCTAATTCACGGCGGTGGCGATTACAAAATGATGGTTCCCGACGCGCTTGACCCAACACGCGCTTCTCCCATTCTGCTCACCACGCTCCTCCGTGACATTTTCAAATTCAATTTCCTCCTTCTCCCGCAAAAAGGAAAAGAAGAAGAAGAAGAAGAGAAAAAAGAAAAGCCTTCGAAATTTCTCGCAGGACTCGACTCGTTCTCTTTTTTCCCTCTCTTTTTTCTTTTTTCTTTTTCTTTTTTTGTCCTATTTGCCATTAAGAATTCCACGATATTCGATTCGAGAGTTCTGCTGGTAATTTTTCACGAACCTCTCGGTATCGAGGAGTGTCATCGAGACCCATTCACGTTCCACCTTCTCCTCCCAAACTCTCCTCTCCCTCCTCCCCCTCCTCCCCTCATCCAGCAATGATCAAACGCGTCTCTCTCGACGATCGATTCGTTTGAAAATGCAGCGTGTTCCGGTCCCAACCGATTAAACGGAACGTGGACGTGGCCGGCCGGCCGGTGATGGTTACCTGGAGCAAGGATCGTCCGCAATATGCACGCACCTCTGAATATCTCCTGTTTATCCCTCCGATTTTCCACCGGGACATCCGTTAGGTTAGAGAGGGAGGAGGAGAGGGTGTTATATAGTGTTCGCCTGTTACGTATTATTCATACGGCGGTCGAGATTTATAATTCTCGTAGGGGGGGATGGGTGCGCGTAATTTTAATAACGTCGTCTCGCGTGGCCAAGAGTGGAGGCAGTGGTTCACAGTGTTTGGCCAGTGCGTGAAGGGGTAACTGGAAGGATGAACTGCGTCGAAAGTGAGAGGAGAAGATCTCTCTTCTTTTCTTTTTTGGGAACGGAGATTTTTTGGGAAAGGAGAAAAATGAATATGGATAGAGGGAGGGGGAGGGGATAGGATTACGTAGAATTTGCAATCGAGCGTTGAATCGAGGTTGAAAAATCACTGTGTAGTGATATTTTTATCGAAGAGAAATTACAAGATGAGATTTAATTATATATTAAATTGTACATAAAGTAAGTAGCCGATAGAGTTTTAAAAGCGAACGATTTATGTTGTTGTAAAGATTTTGGGAAATTTTTCGTTCGAGATGGCTCCTCGAGTTTGTAAGGGACCGTCCTCTTTGATCTCTCGTTGTGCACGAAAAAGTGCTTCTCGAGGATCTTAAGACACGGAGGAGGAGGAGGAGGAGGAGGAGGAGGGCGACACCGATAATAATGGATACGGAAATTGGAAGATTGTGTGTTGCCGCTTATATCGAAATCGCTGATTAATCTTGCACGGTCTAAGCAAAATACAGGCAAGTCTCTCTTACCAACTTTCCACGTTATCGTCCCCTCTATCTGCCGTTTTTCTCGCATATTCCCGACCCGTTGGAAGAAGGTCAAGTGTGTTGAGTCAGGGAGTAATGGGGGGGGGGGGAAACAGGCGCGTACATAATTTTCCAAGTAGCCCGTGATATAAATACTGGAAAGATCTAAAAATCTAATCCTGGCCTGATCCTTATCGATGCATCGAATCCAATTCGTAGATTTAATTCTAATGCTTTAAATCTATTAATAAAAGAAAATTTAATCGAGTAACTAACCCGTTGAAAAAGAATAAGTTGAAAATTTCGTATAAAATTATTATTTCAAGTTTAACCATTGATTAAAATGTTTATTCGTAGCTATTCGTGTAATCTCGATCTTGATTTGACGCTGCGTTTATTGAAATAATTCATCGAAATGAATTAGTTTATTTTTAAACTTTAACTTCGTTAAAATTTCGCCCATCTCTTCCTTCCCCAACTCAAATATAACCTGATAATTAGATCTAACGTAGTCTAATACAAAGTTAGTTCAAACAATCGGCATAGTTATCGCTCGGATCTAGGCAAAATTGAATTTATATTTCGATTAAATCTATCTCAAGCTATATGTATAAAATTTAATCGATATTCACGATAAACTGTAGCCTAAATAGCAAAAAGCGAGATCTGTTATGATTATATTTTATACATAACCTCTGTCTAACGCAAACTCCAGACTCGGCGTATTCATCTTCCAATTCTAAATAAGAGGTTTAACTCATACTTGGACTAAAAGCTAGGACTCGAACCCATCTCGAACCTAAATAAAATCCAATCGGGATCGAAATTAAACTTGACTGGAAATCTAAGCTAAAACCAACGTAAATCCTCGGATGGTTGCCACGTTCGCGAGTTTTCCTCTCGTCTTTACCAGAAGGGATATCACGAGAATCACGTTTCTCCCCTCGATCGATAAGTTAGTTAGACCGAAACAAATTCCGACATGAAGTGAAGTTGAACGTGTTGGTGAGTTGGGTGGGGGGAGGTATTGCTCATAGCGTTTACGTGCCCGTCGAATAGTTTTCGCATTCCGTGGATGCGGGGGAAAAACGGGACGATAACGAGAAACTCGGAACGTCCAAGTAAGAAGCGAACTCGAGTGTATCTCGTTGCCACGAGTAGTTATTCTTTAAGACAGGATTTAAGCTGCGCCTTTCCCAAACGAGACGTAGTTACCGATCGAGCAAAAGACTCGAATCTTTCGCGAAAAATCGTTGAACCCGGCAACTGTTAACAAATTTTCAAACGAGAGGGAGAGATACATCCAGATATTCGTTTCTAACTGCTCCTTTCCCCACGCTGAGAAAAATCGGTGGCTGGTATACCATTCGAGCGTGGCCCATTCAATTAATATCAGACGACTAATACTCACGCTGGGAACGGTTGGATTACGTTGGAGGAGAGATTTCCGTGATCTGGTTGTAAGCGGATCCTCCCTTCCCGCTCCCCCCTTCCTCCTCGAGTGAGCGGAGAAACTGATAATTGGCTCTAATTTTTAATTGGCCCCGTTTATTGGGTTAATTACGGAGACGGGGATCCTCCTGTGTTCCGGCGCGATTCCCAAAGCGACTTTTCTCTCCCCCTCCCCTCCCTTTTTTCCCGCTCCGCCCTCGATCATAAGAGATTATCGAAATAAAGTCGCGACCGAGCCTTTATGCCGAATCTTATCTCGCCGCCAATCAACTTTTTTTTCGAGATTGTGTGGGGCGCAGTTTCGAAAAGAAAGTTACGGCGGATGGTAGTAGGAGCCGGTTACGCTTCCGTATCATTATTTCCTTCGTTTAACTGCCATTCGGCTTCGTTCGATCTTTCCTCCGTGTTTCTCATCTCTGGTGTTCTTTATTCTAACGTTAGTTGTTTCAGGATTTGAAAAGATCGCTCGTGAAAAATTAGGGATTAGGTTAATTGAAAATTCAAGATTCGATGGTAAAGTTATCATTTTCGGTGTGTATGGTAATTTTTGAAGATGACAATGGTGATATTTAGCGATGATAAATTCTCTCTAAATTGTATTCACTTCAAAAATATAATACAATTTTGAACTTCTGTATAGAGATTTCGATGTGTTGGAATAAAAATAATATGCTTCTACTGGCAATTGTTTTACCGGATTTCGCTTTAAGAACAGAAAACACAAATTCGATTGATAAAAATTTGATTAAATTATTTGTTACGAAAATATTACAACATCATGTTTGGTAGAATATTTTTTCGAAAAATAACACGTACAAATGAACGTTCACATATATCTGTATTATTTAAGTAATATTTTCTCGATCCTAAAATTTCATAAACACGTGCGTGTAGATTAAACTTGTGCTGACCCAAGGCAATATTTGACACATTGACCCAATGCGCCGGGCGATTGGCCTAATATCTTAAGTGTTGGGCTCGAGCAACCGAGCTTGTAGCAATATCGTAACATTATAATGTTGACTCGACACCCAAATATTGATCTAATACAATCTCACTGAATCGATCCCGAATTATATCAATAATTCACCGATAAATTCCGATCAAGCATAAAACTTGTAGATTACAAACGAACAATCATAATCGATTACCAATAAATTCTCTTGCGGTAATAACAGTTATTGAATTAAACAACAAATTAATTTTTATAAATAAATTTCACGAATTTCGTTTCATCGTGTTACAGTTTTAACCCATTTGCTCATACATCGCCATATAATCGCCATCCTACATTTTATTACATATATTTACCAATGTAAATACATTTATAATAATATAGTTACATTCTAG